TAAAATAATAATATTAAAATGGCAAAAAGGCATGCAAATGTTTCCAAAAGCTTATCATGATCACAAAAATAGTTGTCTAAGTAATAATTTTGTTTATGTGAAAAAAATATCAATTCAAGTAAATAATCATTACCAATTATCATACAAACAACCTCATATATCCTAAACCACCAATCACACTTTAATTTACTGGTTTGTGTTATAACTCTTTAAATATTACGTTTGTCGGTTAAAAAGATTCCCGTTAGACATGTACAGGAAGTCATCTGATTTAATAGAATTGATCGAACATAATTGGATATGCAATTGCAGCTATATCATATAATATCCAGTCTGGGAATCCAAAATTTCAACACCCAAACTGGATCAGTCAGTTTTTAGATGACAATCCAAAACCCAGTAAAATCGAACCGATCTAATCCACTCCAATTACCATCAAATTATCATCCAACTAATTAGGTCATTTCAATAAGTTTTAAAAATCATTTTTATCCTAATTATATTAAGTGATTTTTCAACATATCATTTATGTCATTTTATATTGTCATCTAGTTTTTACTAAATACATTATCAACAAACAATTATTTTTTCAGCTAAAAAATAAATTATTAACTATAACTGGTTTATCAAACATAACACAATCATAAACCATTTAAAATAAAAAATAATATTTAGAAAATAAAAAATATATTTCTTTAAAAGTAAAGACAAGACACAATCAATTAGTTGGCCTATTCACACCCAATTCCTACTATTTTGGACCAAGTGCCTACCTTAACATATAATATTCCATAATAATATGAACAAATGTCAATTTTTATTTAAAAATTAATGATTTTCAATTATATTTTATTTTTAATAAATTAAAAATCATTCAAACTCTATTTATTTTGATACGTATATTTCACTTGACTTTGATTCATATTTATTAAAAAGTTCCATGTTTTGATAACGTTTAATATATAATTTTTTTGAAATATATAATATTTATATACGATAAATAAACTACATATTGTTAATGTACAACTTCTTAAGAAGTGAAGAACTCACATACCGCTAGGCCAAAGTTTCTTTGGTAATATACAACTTCTTATTATAAAAAAAAATCAGTTATTTAACTTTTGTTAAGCTTATTTTATTATATATTAAGCAGAATTACGAGATAGAGATGAAAACTTTTTTCTTCTTATATTGTTTTGAAATATTTAAGAGTTTAACACTCGATAACGATAAAATGAAGTTTAAAAGACTCGGTCAACAAAACACTAAGAGACCCATACCTTCCATCAGTACAAAATATATAAACACGTGTTTAAGAGTTAATTTTGCTTTCACAACTGATATATATTACTGTTTACATGCAAATATAATAGTATATTTATAACAAAAGAAAATGTCGTACTCCTTATCTTAACAAACATGAAAAGTCAGTTAATTAATTAAGAGAACCTACAGAAAATAACACAGGTATGGACACACACACACACACACATATATATATATATATATATAATGTCGATATCATTTTTTATAGAGCTCAAATTCAATAAAATTCATTGTATTCTAAATCAACATAAAATCAAAAACAAATATAAAAAAGAGTTTTATATTTGGTTTACCCACTTCAAAAAAAAAGCATAGATTTAACCACCAGGGTGGTGCCTGATTGTTTGAGCTTGACTCCAAAGGTCAAAAGAACCAGAATGTTCAAGGTTCAAATCCAAGGAGAAATAAAAATCCTCTTGTGGCCACGGAGATTCAAATGCGATAACTCAGGGTTATCTGCAAAGCAGGTAGTCACCCTGATATTAGGCGGCTCGCATAACAGGTTGGATATCCAGGTTAATTAAACAAAAAACATAGATTTCCAAATCATATTATTACATTACATATAATGAAAGTCATAATATTAAAATGTCATCCTCTATAAAATGCTTAAATACATAAATATTGTATTTAAAACCCTTGTTTTTTAAACATTAGTCTTCATGTTAGATAACTTAAAAGTTAACTTTCATTTAAATAATATTACATTAAAATATCATCAATAAATCTTTTATGTTATTTATTTAATCGTCTTGTCTTTTATCTGTGAGCATTTCATTGGCTACGTAACTAACTTTGATGACATCATATGATAAGCTATGGTTTTTTTTTTAATATTTATCAGTCGTTTTCATACAACCTTTTGAATCTCTAATTTCATTTACGTCCAAGTTTGATTACGTCTCTCTTAGAGCATATACAGTGTAACATCTCAACTTTATGTAGTATACAGTATTTTACCACATAAAGGAAAAACTTTCCCATTTCACAGAAAATAGGAAATTTTCCACATACCTTCTGAAATTATACCCTTTAAGAAGTATCGGATATTCTAGAATACAGTATGTGGGATTACTGTATAACATCAGCACAAAGGTTCAAAAGAACTTGCTAAAATTTAACGAAAAGAGAGTCTTTGACGAACATCCATCAAGTTATCTTCGCATACGTGCTTTTCGTTTATACTTAGCATTTGGAGTAGATGTATCTATGAGTATATGACACATAACTCGTTATCAATTAAACTAAGCGAATACACATAGAAACACAGTACAGAAATATCGAAAGACTAACCAAGTAAATGACATTTCAAGCATGGTGTTTCCCACAGCACGTAGGTACTTTCCATGGTACAATTGGTGTTTTCCTCGATAGCATTACAAAATAATGTGATCTACACCATTATTATTCCACTTTTATAGGTATAACATAATGAAATTATAGACTTTCTTTCCGTAACACTTTTCATCTTAAAATTTATGATGAATCACATATATGTAAGTAATTCACAGTACTAACCTTGCGGTCGATTTGGTGAAAGACGGTACCAACTACGAACCGATTTAAGGGTAAAATATAAATAGAATTTGCCAGACTCCTCATGTGACTTACCTTGCGGCTTAAGTCGTGGCAAAAGTCACCCGTGTCCATTTTTCCATTTGGTTCCAGTGGCTTACGCGACTTAAGTACCGCAACAGGCTGCGTAACCCATTGTTTCTCTGTGATTTCCTACTAAAAGTCCACAATTCACAATTCACCTAAACTTGTGAATTTCACCTTTTGTTGTTGAAAAACGTCTCTCATTGTGAATGGCTTTTAGTTATCCTTTTACTGCTTTAGAGGGCGGTTCTAATGTTTCAAACTAACCGACAATTTGAATTCTATTAGTTCCAAAAAAAAGGTATAAACATATAAAAGGCCGTTTTAGTTCGAAACTTTCTTATAAAAAATGTTGATCATTTTAATACATAATGTAAAAAGAAAATGTACATATATAAATGCAGTATGGTGCATAAAGACAAAGGAATGATAAAATCAACCGTAGCTCGAATCTTGCTATCTAGATATACGTTTGTGGCTACTAGGAGATTTACCTCAGGGTTGTGGACGAAGTTTATAGTCACGAGTCACGACATATCACAAGATTAATCTCGACAAAACCTAGGATCACGCATCTCCAAATGGGCTTGGCTTAACCTTAGAATGATTTGTTTTTAATGGGCTTGGCTAAGCCTTATTGCCTTACTACCTTTGTATGATAAGCTTTCTTTAATGGGCTTAACCCAATGTAGCCCAAATTCTACTTAGGATCGATCTGGGTGTTTTTACTTTGTAGTTTGTGGTAGTGGTAGCCAAAAATCAGTCCAGGGTTGGTCCCGATCGGTCCCAAGGTTGTGCATAACCGGCCATAACCTGTAGCGGTCCCGGACGAAAAGGTGAAGACCGATCAAGCCATTCTATAACCGGTTACGGGGTCCTGGTCCCAACTGGTCCTGATATTAAAAAAAATACTTTTTTTAAATTTTTTTAAGGATATATATTTTTAATACATTATTAAATTTGTCGTACGAGTCACTCAAATACACTTTAAAAATATGTTTTATTATAATTAAGATTACATTGTCTTACAAATTGAGAACTTGGTATGTTAACCTCTCAACCAAAACACATATTTATAGTGTTTTAAGGCCAAAATCTACAAAAAAAAAACGGCTCCCTAACATCTTTCTAACAGCTATAAAACGACTATCTTTTTCGAAATTTTTGGCCTGGCCGGACCGGTCCTTAATCGGTCCCGGTCCCACAGATCTGACAAAATACATAACCGGTCGTAACAGGCGGTCCCATATCTGGTCCTCACCGATCCCGGGCCGGGCCAGTCTTTGGTTCCGGTCCTCCCGTGGTCCTAGGCTTGACTAGGCCGGTTTGGCCATCACTAGTTTGTAGTAATACTGGTCCCAACTTGGGCGCTATGAACACTTGACCAATTTCAACATTTAAAATTTTATATTTTCTATTGTGCTTTATAAAAATTCGACTTAACCAATACCGAACATCATATGCTAGAAGTAATAAGACCGAGTGAGGCATGTCTCAACATGAACCATCTATCGTCGGTCTTGACAATATCAATAATCTATATCTGTCGCAAACAAAAAAACACAGACAATCTCTTTTTTGAAGAAAAAACAACGACAATCTTTTTTTTTCAAGAAAAAACATTGACAATCTTGATAATGCAATCGGGCCCATCGACTATCAAAGTTCCGTTACAACCCTTCCAACCAAACTACAAATGATATCGACATCTTAATAAATAAATAAATAAATAAAATCGAGTGTTTCAAGTTGACTCACTTTAACAGGATAATATTCTATAATTGTAATTGCAATAAACATAAACAAACAATTTTTAACTTTTCTCTGTATGCTTATAAACGTACATCAACAAAATACCAAAAAAAACACATGATTGGCTTGAAATGTCAAACATTCACGTAACCATTTTTTTTGTAAAGCAGGTGATCATCCTGAGATTTAATCAGCTCACATAGCGGGTTGGATATCCAGATTAATTAAAAAGAAGAATGAAATACATGCATATACAAAGTATGGAATTTTATTTATGTATATGGTATTTTATGATTTTATACAAAAAAAAGGATTTAAATTAAATAAATAAACAATTAACATTAATCAGCACAAAATTGATAAATATCATCCATTGAAGGCAACTCCAACAGCAGCTTATCAAGGTCTCTGAACGACATCCCTTTCTTCAACATCGGTGACTTCCCACCACCACCACCGCCACCATCACAACCGCCGCCGTGTGATAACTCGTCGTTAGTAGGGGAAGAGGGTGGCGGAGAATCTTTTCCCGTGAGCCGTTGAACAACAGACTTAAAGCTCATAGCATCGGTCTGAATATACTCGGTGTTGATGATGACCACTTTCACAGAGTTTCCTCTTCCCGATCTTGCCATGATCGTATAACTAATTAATCCTGATCGGAAAATGTAAACAGATAACGGAATCCAAGAACTCTCCGATTGAATCCAATGACGATCGACGATTTACGAACGATCGAAAGGAGTGAACGATGATCGAGGTATGAGTTGATATAGGAATCTAAGTACAAAAAGACGTCGGAAATGAATATATAATTATGTTTGTTGGTGGGTTTATATAGGAATGAGTCCAGGAAGACTTTCTGGATAAGGA